ATGCATTTAGTATAAAGCATTTATTTCGACATTACAAAAAGTCACTTCAATTTTATTTATCTGTACCTACAGATCTAGATATTTCTTTAAAACTAGAAATATTTCAAAACTTAGAAAGTTAAAAGACCTAAATGATGTAAAACCGTTGGTTTGCTTGTTTGTGGACTTGTTAATTTAAAATATGCTAAAAGTTTTGATTCGGTTTTTTTCTATTATTATTTAAGATATATTTCATAGAAAGTTTTTGTGTAAGATATATTTTATTTTTTATCATAGACTAGTTTTGGCCCGCCGGAACGCACGCGTGTAACGTCCCTACACATAATAAACCTTCTATTTTTTTATTGTATTTTATCTATTACTAGCGACTCATTCGTCCCTAGCTAGCTTTCCAATACAAATTTTCATGCCCATTTTCACCCCCTTGAGAGATGATTTCCCGGATGAAAAGTATCCTATGTTCTTCCCAGGTTCTCAAACTATCTTCTTACCAAATTTCATATAAATCGGTTCCGTAAATCCAGAGATTACCCAATACATCGTCACAAACTCATATTCTCACAAACTTACAAACTTTACCTCTTTATAATATTAGTATAGACTAGCAGTACCCGCGGCTTCGCCCGCGTTCAAACTCAAACTTCCTCATTAAACGGGCTTCCCACTTCGGGTTTAGTAGTTCCTAAGATTGGCGCGTTCAAACAAACAAACAAACAAACAAACAAACAAACAAACAAACTCGGCCTCTTTATAATTATAATATTATTACAAATTAGAAATTAACTTCCATAATTTAATTACATACTTACCAGAAGCTCATAAAGTTGATAAATTGCAATTCTAATCTAAAAAACTTCTCCAGACTTCCGTTAATTACGTATAAACAAACAGAATATATTTATTTATATAGATAGAAGCATTAACCGTGGCTTCGCTCGCGCTAAAACAACAAAAATAATAATAATAAGGTAGGTATCATATAAACTTTTATTTTTATTTTACTCCCTCATGGGATACATTTCGAAAAATGCAAAACCACGTATTTATTTAATTGTATTAAAGAGAATTAATGCGAAGTTTCGAGTGATTCTTTCATAAGTAATTTTTGGGTTGTATTATAACATGAGAAAGATATAACCCGCGATAAAGCCTATGTCACTCTCCAGCCCTCCAACTATCTCCACACAGAAAATCACGCCAGTCCATCACAGTTTCGACGTGAAAGAAGAGCAAACAAATAAACAAACACACTTTCTCATTTATAACATGGTATGGAAGTATAGATATATTTCTAACAATTAAAATGTCCACCAACCTGTCACAGAAAGTGTACCTACGACCGTAAATAAAACTATACGCCTATTTTTAGTTACAACACAATAGTTATTCTTGTAAACAACGTTAGTCACTCGCTAGTTCGCGCGCGTTTTGGTGACATCTTAAAATTTTTTAATCTGTGCTACTTTTTATAATTAAAACTAAAAAATAATAATTAGTAAACATTAAAAATAAGATAAAATCTATTCTTTTTAATACAATTATATTAATATTAATTTTATTTTAATTTGTTTATTTTTTTCCATGATAAAGCACTGGCCGTTAACACCTGTGCGTTTTTATTAAAAAATAAATATTATTTAAATATAATCGAATGCGACAGTCTTTTGATTCGCGGGTTGCGGGAGAAGACGCACGTGTGAATTAATTATAGTTTTATAAAATATATATAATAAAAATTCCAAAAAAATGTCGGTGCATACGATTCCTTTGATCACGCCCTTCATCAGAGGACCTAGATATCCGTATAGAAAAAGTAAGTGTTTGTTGTTTTCAGTAGCTACGAAATTCTTGAACTTTAGAAAATTTGTATGTATGTATATTAATGACTCTAAAAAGTCTAAACTATAACGTGAGTTTCATCAAAATCAATTCAGTATAAAATGATATGTAAAAATATTATAATGGGTTTTTTTTTGTTACTGAATTTTAAAAATGTGACAAAAAAATAATTTTATGAAAAAATACATTATATGAATTATTCTACAAGTCGTTGTCCGTAATTGTATATCTATTATGAAAACATATACATATTATGGGGGCTGAATTTTTCATAGGACAAAATTTTTGAAATAAAAAATTTGCCTTTCTATGAATAAAATTTTTTTTTTCAATATTCAGTTAATCTATACTAATATTATAAAGAGGCAGGGTTTGTTTGTTCGTTTGAATGCGCTAATCTCAGGAACTAATAATCCGATCTGAAAAATTCTCTTTGCACTACACAGCCCGTTTATTAAGGAAGGCTTTAGGCTCATATATCATATAATATATATAGTCTATCTATTTCATACTAAGTAACTAACCGTTAAATCGTACCTATGGATGAACCCGAGCGAGTAAAAAAGCGAGGGTGAGTCGCTAGTTTATTTACATAATAGGAAAATCTACTTATTAAACGAAATGATTTGACTGGTTTACGAGTTTCTGCTAGATTTAGGTGAAGATAGACACATAGAAGCATCAAAGCCATTACACACCTTTTTTTGTCGTCGGTTAAAAATAGATTTTTTTGTTCTCTCTATGTTAATCGTGACCAACTCGATGCGGGTCATTGAACTATAACTTTAATGAATTAAAATATGATATAGCGGTCGTGGGTTCGAGCCCCGCTATGGGCATTCATTTGTGTGATGAGCACGAATTTTTGTACTCCAGTCGAGGGCGTTTATATGTATAATATGTACGTATTTAAAGTTATATATGTGTTGTGTAGTGTATCAACTATCTGGTATCCATAACACAGGCGTCGTAGCTCACCATGGAACTAGATGGTGCTGTGTGTTAATGTACCAACATATTTATTTATTACTTTAAGCGCAGAACAGATAGGGCTTCGCGCTTAACAAATTGGGGAACGGAACCCTAAAATTTGTTATTTCTAACTAGCTCGAGTACTAGAAATATTATTGCTAGTTGTAAACTGTTCGAGCTTCAGTTTTGAGTTTGTCGACCTTTAGGGTCAAAGGTTAAGTTAAGTTCAAAATGGTTCATTTTTAGTATGCTGTTTGAACTATACTCTAAAATTTACATTATAATTTTTCTTTGTTGCTTCAAAAACATGGCAAATTTTCAAATTCTTCGTGAGAATAAGACGTCTTCCCTAAAAAACTATTTGAATCAATGAAATTTCACTCTTTAGACTTTCAAAAAGATAACAAACATCCAAATTCCATTTAACAGATGTCCAAATAAATATACATATGTATATATAATTTTCTTCTGTCCCTCCTTATACATTTTTATGTCACAACTTTGATATTGAATCTATTCTAATCTATACATATATATAATAAAATTGTAACTGAGGCGTATCTGTACATTTATTATTTTTTAGAAAGTCTTATTAAAATTGTCATTATTATCGATACGTTACGATATCTATAGTTTTTAAAATTTCTGTCTGTCTGCCTGGGAATGCATCATGAGAAAACCATTGGACAGATTTTGATGAAATTTGGTATGATGATAAGTGGTTATTCGGGCCAACATATAGAATGCTTTTAACTACGGGAAAATATCTCATAACTTAGAAATCTATACTAGCCGTTAATACGTTCCTAGGGACGAACCCGAGCGGAGTGAGGGTGAGTCGCTAGTATACGTATAAAGTGGAAGAGTTTTTTTTTACATCACACCTATGAGAGTGAAGTATTTCTACAAAAGAAACGATACGGACGGAGCCGCGAGACATCGCTGGCTATAAATTTTCACGAACAACGCTGCAGTCAACATTTGGTCTATGCCCACTTACACACGTGAGAAGTACAGGATCGTCCCAGTTAGCTGATTTGGCTTTAGTCCAATGCAAATGTCGATGACTCGCAACTCAGAATACTGTAACGCAAGAGATTTAGACGTTAAATATCACTTGTGGCGTCACGTAAGTTGCTCAAGGTGACGTTGATCTTTTCGGAAGTTATACCATGTGGGTTGCTCCTGGTATCAGAGGATAGCAGAGTGATTCATGGGAACCCCTGGTTGTTTTCTACTTCAGTAGGCCAGCTGTTGGTTTGAATGTTGTAATTGATCTTGCGACACCCCATTAAGAGGGGGGAGGTTCTGTTGGGTTTTAGTGGGTTAGTACTGACTTTTCTAGCTGATGAGTCTCACATAAAAGTGATGATATATGCACGTGGTATTCGGAAATGCATTTCTCGACATTTCTGTAGTTATCGAACCGAGAAAAATTGGAAAGGATGAAAGGCCTTCTAATAATATATTATTGCGATTTGGACATAGTAGACACTTGTTAGAACTTATCTACATATGAGCTTATGCATTCAAATCCTTGGACACTATGTTGGGATATTTTTGTACATTTGTAAATATATCTTGCAAGATTTAGCCATAGCTCGACAATCCAATTTAAATAAGCCGATGTGATCTGGTGTTACATGAAGGCCAAGGTTCGAATCCATACAAAGGACTACAAAAATGACACTTTTAAATTAACTATACGTACACATTTATATAAAACGTATGAAAGGTGACTTTACACTCGGTTTATCTCAAAGTCACCTCGTTGACTGACTGACTCATTTATTATATCAAGTGTTTAAAAATTCTTGGAAAATTTATTGGGATAGATTTTAGCTAAACTAGGTGTTGTTTTATGGCTTGCGTACATATATTTCTATTTATTAGTAAATATATTACATGGACGTCTTCTTTAATTATTTTTTAATTTATATTACAGATAAGAAATAGTTTTAAAAATGTATGTGGCGATATCTATCAATTAGTCTATTTATAAAAAAATATATAAACTAAATTAAAAGTGACAATGATGATATCACAACAAAAAATTGTTCTGAAATTACATAATATTTTACGTCAACATCAACTCATACTTTTTTATTATTTATTCTATAACTTACCAATTACAATTATAATTTGCACTAAGTGATAGCATTTTAAATTGAACTTCTCAATCTTTCCAGGTAAATCCCCGTTCTTCCCAGGAGTTGAGGAAGGGGGGGTAGCTAGCGGAGCCGGCGCTGGATCGCCCTCTGGACCCACAGATCAGACGCAGGACGTCGTCTCCAGGCTTAGTGCTGCTGGTAAGTAGCCCTTTAAGGCATTACAGGTTTGAGGAATAAATGGACCCGTTCTAATTACAGTAGGTACCCTTTTATTCATTACTGAACCCATGATAAAAGTCAAGAGTCTAAGGCCATTAGAATGGGGTGTGATGCTTTTTACACCGATTATTGATTTGTCTTTGTGTGCGTTCTTTTTTTTTAATTATTTCATGATACGTCATGATAATTACTGTATGAATATTTAACAATTGCGCAGGTCTGGTGTTGTTTACCTTTGGAGTTCTTTGAAAAATCGCATTTCTCATTGAGGGATTTTTTCTTTAAATTCAAATAGACTCTCGAAGCGTTGAATAAGGTTCCATTCAAATATCGACTTTGGAATTTTAGCCCCCAATCCCGTAAATCTGAATCAATGGAAAAATTTTAGTGTAAAATTGTTGTAACGGAAAATGTGATCATTTACTTTAAAAAAGAAGCTTAATTTTTATTATAAAACTAACTTTTAACTTTAAATGAGGTTGAATTATTATTTTTAGGCCACTCCATACTGTTTAATATCTGAACTTATTCTTATACTCTTGCCGAAGAGCTTAAAAACGTTGGAAACTTTAAAAAGTGACCAAAGTTTAAATCAATGACTAAACTTTTAAAAGTATTAGCTGCATTTTCTAAGAAACTAAGTATTTTATTAGCAACGCTCTCGCTGCAAAAACTGCTTGAACTTAAATTTTTTGTTTAGTTGGTACTGAGAATTTATTGACGAAAAAACTCTAAGGCTCGGCCTGGGACTTGAAAACAGGATATCCGGATCTGTAGCCGTGTATTCTAAACCACTGAGTCAGTTAAAATAAATTTAATATGTATGCACCATAAATAAAATTCTTCTGGAAGAAATATTTTAGGTGACAGCGCAAACCATATCAAAATCATACGATGCTCAGTTTTTTTTTTTAATTATAAAACTAAGAATGTAGAGGTTTTAAATAAAACTATGTTATCGGAATTTTTGGCGAATTTACATATTTTGATTTTTGGTTCCTGACGTTTCGAATGCTTTACAGCAATCATGGAGTCTCTCCCGAAAAGATAGTTTCGCGTAAATCTAAGAAAGTTAAAGTAGATATTGTTTGCGAAATCATAATAAACACCTATCCTGAAGTGAAAACCCAATCATTTCAGGTCTATCAATGTGCGTGAGCGCGTTGGGCTCGCCGGCGCGGTCGTCCCCCGTCTCAGCCGGGTCGGAGCACGGCGAGCGGTTCAGTCGGAAAGTCTTCGTCGGTGGACTCCCTCCGGACATTGATGAAGGTATGTATTCAGCCCTTTTTAACGTCCCACTGCTGGGAACGGACCGGCCTTTAATACGAGGGGGATCAGGCAATAGTCCACCACGCTGGCCAAGTTTAGGGCGGGCTGAGCATGTCTTTCGAAAATTTGCTAGGTTCTCTCATATAGCTTTACTCTTGTGTTTTCTTGATTGTGAGTGTTTAAAATTATTATATAGTCCTTGGATCTATGTGAAGCAAACGCGGTATAGCAATTAATTCAGCATCAATTTATTATAATTTTTAGTTGGGACGTCATGAGTATACCTATAGGTATATGACAAATGTAGGCATTTTCATCTCGACTGGTGAAAGATATTTGGCGGTATCTAAAACCATTTTACATTAAATTGTGTATATTTTAAACTCGTAAATAAATATTTCTTTAACATTTAACGCCTGGAGGCGTTTACATCATTCCTAATGTGTTGACTATTTTTATATAAGTAAAAGTGAAAAGATGTTTATTGCGCAGCAAGCAAGCGCAGCGATTGAGAAAAGGCCGATTTGGCTATTTTTTTAAATATTCCTAATCTATACTAATTTATTAAAAAAAAGATTTGATTTTTTGTTTGTTTGTTTGTACCAAATAGGCTCCGAAACTACTGAACTGATTTAGATTAAAGGTAAGAAGGTAGTTTGAGACACTGGGAAGAACATAGGAAAGTTTTTATACCGGAAATCATCCCTTAAGGGGTGAAAAAGGGGATGAAAGCTTGTGTGGGGAAGCAATGAACCCGGGCGAGGGTAAGTCGTAGTAGTAGTAGTAGAGTATAAGTTAGAGTTAGCAAAGACCCCATCGGCAAGCCCTAGGACTAATTTGGATCGATAATGGTGACAAACGATAAATTAGAATTGTTTCTGTTAAGCAAGAAGTACCAGTAAATTGAGTCTTTTTCACAAAATTATCTTACAGATAACCCATTTTTAGTTGATTTAAAATTTTTAGCATGGATTTATGATGTGAATCCGATTATAAATGAAGGTGTGTTTGTTTGTTTGTTTGTTTTTGACCTTTCACATCGAAATAGAGTGACGGATAGGCTTGATTTTTTGTGCGGAGATAGTTGGAGGGCTGGAGAGTGACATAGGCTACTTTTACTGCGGGAGATTATTTCATTCCCACGGGAGAACACGTTATAATACAACCCATAACGACTCATCATATCTACACTTATATACATTGTACATAATATATATTATAATACTAGCATTGCCCGCGGCTCCGCCCGCGTTAAGATGACCAAAAACCAAAATCATAGGTTTTACATATTAGTATACTCTTTTACATTGCAGTTTTTGTATTTTTTCTTAGAAATGAGACATTTTCTTGCGGTAAAAAGTATTCTATATATTGAGCCGGATAACCAGCTATCACCATACCAAATTTTATCAAAATCTCTCCAGTGGTTTTTCTGTGATGCGGTAACAGACAGACGGACAGACAGACAAAAATTCTAAAAACTATAGATTCGGCCTCTGTATAATAATGTTTATTTCAATAAGATTTTCCATAAAATACCTATTTAATGTACAGATTCGGCTTAGTTACAATTTTATTATATGTATGTAGTCTATGTATTCCATACTAACCGTTTAAACGTACCTAGGGACGAACCTGAGCAATGCAAGGATAAGTTGCTTGTATTCTATAACGGATTACGATTCGTTTCGCATCTAAGTCCAGTCTAGATTTTCTAGGTCGTTCAACAATAACATAGCACAATGAGTAGCCTAGATCTAGACAGATCTGACTGCATGTGGTTTGTGTAGGCTCGTTACGCAACTGTCCTCTTTAGGTGGACTATAGCTCAGGGCTAGATGGTAAATATATTCCTTGCTAATATTGTTAATTATTTTCCGTTTGTATATTGAAATGTTTTACACATTATAGTCTATACTAATATTACAAAGAGGTAAAGTTTGTGAGTTTGTGACGTTGTAGGGGGTAATCTCTGGATCTACTGGACCGATTTAGATGAAATTTGGTAAGAAGATATTTGTGACATTGGAAAGGACATAGGATACTAAAGGAGAAACAACAGTTTTCTTGAAATAGTCTTTGTACTTCTTCTTTAAATAACTTGCGAATCGGTAGGCAGACGATGTCCTGCCAAACATTTCGTTTGGTTGGAAAATTAAGGAAAACCATTCTGGATCTTGACAATAGCTGCAACTATCTGGTGCAACTATAGCTTAGAAGTTAGAACCATCTAGATGACGTAATGAGTAAGCAAAATCGGTCAAGTCTTTTAGAAGAAGAATTGTGAACATAATACAGCAAACCGGGATATTATATACAAAAATAATAAATTGGGTTCCACAACAGTTTTGGTTTTACGGAGAAATTCACCATGTTTATTTTTCGTAAATCGAATGATCGGCTTTGAAATCAAATTTTTAGTTTAGTTGCTCTGAGTTGGCCTCAAATTTCCTTAAATTATTTTCAAAATAAAATTGTGGGATAAAAATGTATTTTAAATAATTTTAAGCGTTTTAAGAAAAAAAATCGAATAAAAATTGTAGAGCAGGAAGAGGGAGAAGTCAATTGATATGTTGTACGTGGATATTTTAGATGTATATTTAGAATGCTTTATAATATCTTCAGACAGTGAAAGGGAAATCCTGATTTAGATATTCGTACTCAATAGAGTTCATTTTGAACCTTATAACTCCAAAATTAACTCAGTGTACGCGTAGGAATTGCAATAGAAATGAAAAATTCAAGTAAGGTTTTATGTTATTGATAAATACGTAACACATTTATATATTAATGTCAAATGCCCTCTCTCATGAAGACTATTCAACTGTGCAGAAGATATAACAGTGCACAAATATACACGAACAACTTGCACTCTCTACTTCTTTTTCTGTTACAGTCCGGTCACAGGACAAATTAAGACATGACCGGTGTTAGACAGTGTACTATACCACCAACATCCCACCTCATTCCTACTTCTAAAAATTTATATGTAATTACTATCCATGACTCCATCCGGGGTTCGAATCTACGACCTCAGGATGAGCACTTGTAGTTGATGGAACTCTCAATTCCTAAAAACCTATGCATATCCAACTCACACTTGACCAATTTATTTATTTCCATAACGAATCAAGAATCAGTTATATTCTTCACGCACCATTGAGTTTGGATTGGAACAATGCATGTTGTATGTCACCTCCCAACTCCTGCCTTTTCGTGTTAATTAGACCAGAAATAGGTGGGATTTGAATCTGCAATAATTTCTAAAGAAAGGCTAGCAATGTGTTTTTTTTAGCAATGTGCTTAGTCCTCTGAGTATACCTTCATCATCCATGCCGAAGGTCGTGGGTTTGAATCCCGATTGAGATAAATTAGTCGTATAGTTGTTAATTGTTGCATTACAAGAGGCCTCAGTCCTACATATTTTTTGTATTTCTGAATTTGGGTCTATAATTATTTTGTGTGTTTCGATTATTTCTGCTATTTACAATAGACTTTTTCTGATTCTTTTTCAATGAGTAGCTTGTAATTCCAAATAGTTATTCCGCTTTTATGGGAATTAACAGTAGCATTGACAGTCTTTAGGATATACAAAGTCACAGAAGAAAACTATTAACTGAAAAACAATACAACTCCATTACATTAAGTTTGCAGCTGACGTGTTTAATCCTGCACATTTTTGTCCCTTTGAATCTAGTCGCATCTAGGTCAACTCATCCCATTGTGTTCTAATCCGCTTGGTTTAGTCGCTGTGCCCCGGTCTGGTGATCAGATGGCTCGTCCTATTAGGATGCCAGAGCAAAACTGGCCCAACTCGGAACTTAAAGCTTTATAATATATACATATAATAAAATTGTAACTAAACTGAATCTGTACATTAGATATTTTTTGGTGAATCTTTTTGAAATAGACCTTATTAACGATACAGAGTCGTATCTATAGTTTTTGGAATTTCTGTCTGTAACCGCATCACGCAAAAACCAATAGAGTAACAGAGTTCCTTTCGCATTTATAATAATAGTATGAATTATTATATATACGCATTATATTCTGTTTATTAATGTTTATTTGAGACCTAAACAGTATTTAAAAATATTTACAAAAGAACTAATCTAGAATCTATACTGATATGTATTCGGTTTTTTTAAACGCATGATCTAGCAAATACCACAATAATCAATGCTATTATATTTTCCATTACATTTATAACATAACCTAAATATGAAAGTGCTATTTTAAATAATTATTTTTTCGGATTTTATCGCGGATTTATTTTGATTTTTGGTTCCCGACATTACGAATGCTTTAAGCAATCATGGTCACAAGAGAGATTGAAGTTTTAGATGTCTCAAAATAAATCCGCGAAATAATCCGAAAAGATAGATTTATTTAAAATATCAAATATTCGCGTAAATCTAAGAAAGTGCTATATTTAAAATGTAAAATTTGTTTTGCAATACAAACTTCGTTTAAAGTTTACTTAGACCTCTTTTGCACTGACTGCCTTCATACTTGAATCACGTGCCAGAGACACAGGTGTGCTAAAGGAAGATCAACCGTCTTAGGATTTATGTAGGTGAAATTAGTATATTTATATTTGAACCCGGTTCTAAAGGTACAAACCTTGTTATCTATACATATAATAAAATTCTAAGTCGAATCTGTGCTTAATTTTCTTATCTATACAGATAAAGTTGAAGTATCTGTTTGTAATGTCAAAATAACAGCTTTTTACTAAATTCATATAAAATTATATACGGTACTTATAAGAAAAATACGATTTTTAAAATTTTTGTCTGACTCTCTGTTTGTTCCGGCTAATCTCTGAAACGGCTGGACTGATTTTGACGGGACTTTCACTAGCAGATAGCTGATGTTATAAGGAGTAGCCTTAGTTACTCCTTATAACATATTTCATTATAATATATTTTATTTTAGACAAAGAAAAAAATATAACGTACCTAGGGTACCCGTGCGGATCGAGGGTAAAAACAAACTGACATTCAGTTACTAGCCCAGTCAAATAAGGTCCGAAATCCAAACCTACCTCCCTAACTCAGTTAATTTTGACCGGATGAAAAAAATCATGAAACTTTTTTATGTAAAATTTTAAGGCTTAAGCTCTACCTGCATATTTTTACTAAAACTTTTTTGTCTAATTTTTACCGTTTTCGAGTATTTGCGAAAAAACACTTTTGACTTTTTTTTCAACCATTGCCGGGGGTTGCAGACACGAAAACCTTTACACATTATTTTTGTATCATTAAAATATTTTATAAACTAAATTATATCAAAAATGCATTTTTTTTAACTTTGCAAAGTTGAGTGCCAAAATTTTGATTTCAGACCATATTTGACTGGACTATACGATAATCAAAGATAAGAAATCTAACCATGGTTAATTTAAATAAATCTATCATGGTCATCATGGTCACCATGATTGCTGTAAAGCATTCGAAACGTCGGGAACCAAAAATCCAAATAAATCCGCAAAATAATCCGAAAAGATAGTTTTATTTAAAATGTCAAATATGCGCGTAAATCTAAGAAAGCATTATGGTTAATTTAGATCTGTGCAATTATTATAACTTTTACTAGCAGAACCCGCGGCTTCGCTCGCGCTAACACTACAGAAAAACTCTAAAAAAGTAGGTTTCATACAAATTTTCACCCGCTATTTTACCCCCTTTGGCATGATTATCGAAAAATGCAAAAACACGTATTTATTTAATTGCATTGAAGAGTATTAATTGGAAGTTTCACGTAATTCTGATAATAAATAAGTTTTGGGTTGTATTACAACGTGTACTCCCGTGGAAATGATATTATCTCCCGCGATAAAAAGTAGCCTATATCACTCTCCAGCCCTTCAACTATCTCCACACACAAAATCTCGACAATCCGTCACTCCGTTACGACGTGAAAGAAAGACGAACAAACAAACACACTTTCACATTTGTAATATTAGTATGGATATTGAGACGTCAGTAACAGATAGTTTAAATGTGATATAAAAGTCCAGCATTATGCGAGTTTAGCTGCTGGTAGGTTATTGGGAACGCCCGTTAATGATGCAAAGCGTCGACAAGATTAGTGACGTCAACTTTTTCTTTTTGACATCACTATCAGCCTGCTCTAAATGAAACTTCATTGTTGCTTGAAACCTAAAAGCAGACTTAATATCTATAAGACGAAATTTTGTCCACAGTGGCACTTTATCAAATATAAATGGACGTTTTACGCAAGACAAAAGAAAATGTTCAGTAATCTATCGAACAATTTTCTAAAATGCTTTGAAATTTTTGGGGCACTCTAAAAGTTTTTAGGTCAAGCTTAGATATTGTACTCGAATATGTTACTCGCCCTTTTGAAACGGAACAAAGGGCTTGATGGAACAAAATGCTTGGCAAATGTAGATTTTTGGAGTGGTATTAAAATTGGATGACTGTTTTGTTTGTCTGGATGGTACAAAAGAACGGTTAGGTTAGGTTAGGTCGTGGATTCGATTAGCAGATGTTTTGTATGGAGCTTATATGGATTTAGCTTTATTTGAATATAAGATGTAATTGCCATGAAATTGTAATTTTTATTTATATATTTGAAAATTTATGAAAATATATAAATAAAAATAACTAGGTACGTTTTGATTTTTTTGAGCGGGATTTTAATTCTTTTTCTAATATAAAAGTAGCCAAAGTTACTCTTTATAACATCAGCTATCTGCCAGTGAAAGTCAAAATCGGTCCAGCCTTTTCGGAGATTAGCTGTAAAAAACAGACTGATAGACAGACAAAAATTTAAAAATTTACTTTTTCTTATAAGTACCGTATATAATGTCATATGCATTTATTTAGTAAAAAGCTGTTATTTTGATATTACAAACAAACACTTCAATTTTATTTATCTGTATATAATATCAATTTAGAAATCTTATGGTATACTAAAATACAGTAGCGTCGCGTATTATATACGGTCGTTTCGGCATGCAGGAGCAACAAACATACACGCACAATATACACACGGACAAACTTTCATATTTACGATCGCATTTCGATTTTAATTTATAGATGAAATCACGTCATCATTCCGTCGCTTTGGGCCGCTGGTGGTCGACTGGCCGCACAAGGCCGAGAGCAAGAGTTACTTTCCGCCCAAGGGATACGCTTTCCTACTGTTCCAAGTAAGTTTACCTGTCCGTCGGCGGAAGTGGTCAAATGGACCCAGTTATGCAAAAAACAGCTAAGCATTTTTCTGTCGATAGTTGCACTTGGGTTATGTTTTGTTTTTCTGGTAATTTTAAAATTGAACAATATTTATATAAGTATTGTTTATTTTTTAATAATTATTTTATTTTTTATAATAAAATGCTTATAACTCTGTTGGTACTTTACGCACATGGCTGCTTTTTGCATAACTGGGTCCAAATTAGAAATTCTTTTGTGCCATTAGATGGCAAGTACGTAGTAGCCAAGTAACCCGTTTCTAAGTATTGGCACGGCAAATATATAAATTTATAATATATCGTGAGGATCAAAATATGCCATATTTGTGTAGTAGATATTATAAGTACTACGAGGATATCCAAGCACTTTGGAAAAACACGAGCGTTATCTTTCTCCGTTTGGCACATATCATTCAACAATGGCCGAATGTATTTTTATAGGATTTATATTATTGTTCTAATAATTATGTATTAAACGGGAGTTCTACTTTGCTTTTATTACACCGTGCCGTCATAAAAAGAAGACAATTTTGTTAAAGTTGATTTCGAGATATTTGAAGTTTTATCTTAGTACTTAGTAGTAGTAGTTCCTTATGTGGTAGAAATCCAACCAACTTGCACGAAACGCTTTAGTTTTACGTTTCTGAAACGAACTGCTAAGGTGTGGAACATCTTTCCTGCATCCGTGTTTCCTGCCACCAATAATTTAAGTACTTTCAAGGCAAGAGTAAATAGACATTTTCTAGGTAATCGCGATCCAACCTAGACCTCATCAGTGCTTCCTAGCGTTGATTGTAGTAAGCGCAAGAATATCGAACAATAAAAAAAATAGTAGTTTGTAGGTAGTTCGATGAAAACGGTTATGTCATCTCCGGATTCATAAGACTTAGAGCTTTATGAGTAAGGCTATCAAGTAGCATTTTTTTTTGCTGATTCGGAAACTGCATTTAAGTCATTTTTGGCCAAATTGTTAGTTAGTTCCTTCTTTATTATGACGTCAGCATACATTTATTATATTACATTTGTAGTAAATAACACATATATAACAATTCCCAGGACGAGAGCTCAGTGGCCGCTCTGATGGAGGCGTGTATCACGGACGACGACAAGCTGTACCTGTGCGTGTCGTCGCCCACCATCCGCGACAAGCCCGTGCAGATCCGCCCCTGGAGGCTGGCGGACGCGGACTTCGTCCTAGACGCGAGTATGCCTCTAGACCCAAGGAAGACAGTCTTTGTGGGGGGCGTGCCCAGACCTTTGAAGGCTGGTGAGTGGATATAACAAAGCTTTATTCAACTTGATTTAGCATTTTGGTCAGTGAACCAAAATAGAAGCTAGAATTAAAGCGTCTTGGGATCTATAGCTTAGTTAAGTCTAAATATATGCATATTTATTTACATTTTGTTTTTGTGCTAAACGCACTGTAAGTGTTTTGTTTAGTTCGAAAAAAGTGGTCCCGTCGAAAAAAATTAAATAATATAATTTGTTGGTACATTAACACACAGCACCATCTAGTTCCATGGTAAGCTACGAGGCTTGTGTTATGGACACCAGATGTCTGGAGTACAAACATTCGTGCTTATCACACAAATGAATGACCCCAGTGGGATTTGAATCCACTGCCGCTGGCACAGCAAGTAGGGTCACTACAAACTGAGCCAAACGTGACGTCAAATTATATATTCGTAATTAACTAACAGCCATTGAAACGAAAAATATATGGCGTATTGTGGCTGATTTCTTGGCGCTAACGTTATATCTGCTACTTACAGTGGCTCTCAATAACCTATCAATCTGAAGTTTTTCTTGCTAGAGATAAAAAATTTACATAATCTCCATACAAATTATGTCATATTTCTATCGCTAGTAAAAAATATAGGTATTTACCGTTGTACTCAGCCCTTTTTAACGTCCCACTGCTGGGTCTCCCTTCAGTGTGAAGGGGATCAGGCCGTAGTCCCCCACGCCGGCCGAGTGCGGGCGGACTGAGCATGTCTGCAGGCGACTCGCTAGGTTCTCGCAGACATGCTGGTGTTCTTCTTCACCGTAAGACAAGTGTCATGTTGGAAATTATTCGCACATGAGAATATCAGAGGTGTGAGATCCGGGATTTTAACTCGCTTCACTCGGTTTCACAAGAGAGCGCGTTACCACTGTTTTGTATCCACGGTTAGTCAAGTGAAAACGTATTAAAATATTATCAATCTTTCTCATTTCCAGTGGAGTTAGCGATGATAATGGACAGACTGTACGGCGGCGTGTGCTACGCCGGCATCGACACGGACCCCGAGCTCAAGTACCCCAAGGTGTGTATGGCTCATACTAATGTAATTTGAGTTTAACTATAGTAATTCTTTCTTAGACTTACGTAAATATTTGACATTTTTAATAAAAATAAAATTATAATAAAAATAAATTGATGACATTTTTCAATTTTTTGAATTCATTTTATTATTTTGTGGGTAGGCTGTCTGTAACAATTATATAACGCCTTTGAGACATCTTAAACCTTAGTCTCTCCCGTGACTTGACAAAAATTAAAATAAGTACGCGAAAATGTCCAAAAAGTTAGTTTTTTCATTTAAAATGTTACATCTGTACATATACTCGTACATAGTAGAATTGTAACTAAGTCGAATCTGTACATTAAATATTTTTTGGAAAATCTTACTGAAATGGACATTAAATTATGGATACAGACGCCGAATCTGTAGTTTTTAGAATTTTTGTCTGTCTGTGACCGTATCACTGGATAGATTTTGATGAAATTTGGTATGATGATATGTAGTTAGTTATCCGAGTCAACTAATAGAGTACTAGTAAAATATAGGATACTTTTTACTGCGGAAAAATATTTCATCTATGTTAAATCTATACTAAACGTTAAAACGTAAGTAGGGACGAACCCGAGCGGAGCGAGGGTGAGTCGCTAGTAATTAATATTTCAGTCATTTTTAACGTCCCATTGCTGAGTCCAGGCCTGCCCTCCCTCATGCGATAGGGATCAGGCCATATATTATTTAAATTTATTATATTTTTTTATTTATATACTTATATATAGGCCATCGTGTTATTTAAATTTTTGAACCAATGCGTTTGTGGTCGCAGGGCGCGGGCCGCGTCGCCTTCTCCAACCAGCAGTCGTACATCGCGGCCATCTCGGCGCGCTTCGTGCAGCTGCAGCACGGCGACATCGACAAGAGGGTCGAGGTTTGTTGTGGTTGCTCTTGCTGTTGCGTAGTCTAGGGCCCGCTGTAGGTTTGGTCCTCGCCCATCTGGTTAGTGGAGGAAATGTATTGTCTACGTCTGAATAAAATATATATTTTATATTATTATTATTACTTAGTATATCAGTGCTTTTACTATAAATATATATTAATTTAAAGGTGCAGATTAATACGTAGCATACATATTTAATCGTTTTAGAGATATTAAAATTTTAAAATAGGTTGTTTTTCTGTGCTGTAGTACAAACTGAGGCAAACGTGTCGTATCAGACGTATCACGTATAACATATTGAGAGGTACATGAGGAAAATGCAAGGAACGACCGCGTTTTCTCTAATGGATAAACGGATAAGATACAACTGCGACACGCAAGGCATTTTTGTTATTAAAACATTATATATTTTTAAACAGCATTTTTTTATAAATATATCACTCCGCCCGTATATTAATGCACGGACATACGTCATATATAATAACAATAAAGAATCGGGCAATATATAAATATGTTTAACTAACTGTATGTGTGTATGCTTGTTGCGTGCAGGTGAAGCCGTACGTGCTGGACGACCAGATGTGCGACGAGTGCGCCGGCGCCCGCTGCGGCTCCAAGTTCGCGCCCTTCTTCTGCGCCAACGTCACGTGTCTGCAGGTGCGTGTGTGTGCGTGTGTGGGGGAGGGGGAGGGGGGGTGGTCGCTGTGCACGAGTGGGTGAATGTTTGTAACTTCTGTTTCTGGGTGGTTACAAAGGTCTTGGGGGTTTGAGGTGTTATGTGAATCATATAATATTTTTATAGTTAAGGCCCGATCCACATCAGTATAGTGCCATATCAGTATAGTAAAGTATTTTCGTACAATAAGCAATGAACGCATTCACACCATCACTAAGAGTCAAATTCCGATCGACTCACACTTCAGCAATGTTTCTTTGTACAAAAATACTTTACCAGGGAACCGAAAACGGACTCTTGTCGGCTGATTGTGTGGATCGGGTGGATTGGATTATTATATCACAATTGCTTAAAAATGTTGTCCGTAACATGTCTGTCTTTTTGCAGTACTACTGCGAGCATTGCTGGGCGACGATCCACTCGCGTCCCGGCCGCGAGTTCCACAAGCCGCTGGTGAAGGAGGGCGCCGACCGCCCGCGCGCCGTGCCCTTCCGCTGGTGTTAGTCGCGACCGGGGGAAGTGGGGGGAGTGGGGGACAGTTCTCGGCGGCAGGGGGGAGAGGTGTGTGGGGGGGAGAGTAGGGGAATGATGGAGGGTGGGGGGAGGTCTTTGTTGGGGGATAGTTTGTGTTAGCTGAATCGTGGGTTATGATGACGGAATGGGTTTTTGGGAGTGAGGAGTTGAGTGTGTAGCTTGCTGTTGGGGTTAAGAAGGTTGTTTCTTGTAAATCACGATTTGGGTAATTTGGGTGTGTTTTGAGTTGTGGGCTTAGTTTGGGGAGTTGCATGGGGGTAGGGTTGTTGTGAAAAGATCGGCTTTGGAGATATGGTGTTAGGCAAGTTTGATTTCTACAATCGATGTAAATAATAGAAAATTGAATTGTATATGGCTATGAGATTCTGAGCGAAATTGTAGTTAATTGTAATTGTAGTAATGTTATTTTCATATATTTTTGATTTTTCTATCAACTATAGCGCTTGTAGAATGTGATCTTGGCTAAGTTAGGAGGGTTGGGAGAGCGTGTGATGGCGGCAGGTTTAGTCTAATCTAAAAGATGTTTAAGCAAATTATAAAATTCTTGCACGATTTGTATGGAAATAGTACGGATAGGTAGTAAGTTAGGCCGAGAACTGTCACATGAGGGAAGTGAGGGCGATCTCCCCGGGATTGGAAGTGGGTTTTTATCCCATTTGGGATACCATTTGGGATTGTAAAACTCGACTCTGCCAGCGTTGAATGGCTTTGAAGAGAATTATTGTAGACATAGAAGTTTTGGTCCTTGGAGGCCTTAGAGGTTTTCTGGTGCGTTGTTTGCAATACGACATTTTGTGACATTTTTAATCTGTATTTTTGACAGTTACACTTTCTAGATTATTAATAAAAAAAATCACGGCTTTTAGTACCTGTAAAAGTGTGACGAACTGTTGTATCGCCACCGGACACGACAAAGACACCGATTAGTCAAAATTGGCCGCCATTTTGTTGGCCGTTAGAAAAAATAAATGCAACATTATTCGATATAATGTTAAGCGAAATATATAGAATTCAAGTACAAGACAATTCGGTTTTTGGATTTCTTCCGGACGAAACTTTTTTTTTTGCTAAGAAACGAAAAAAGTTTTGTGGGAAGAAATCAAGAAACGATTCGATTTAAGCAAATGTATTCAAAAAAATTAGCTAGTTGTCAGTTTGTCGTTTGTGGATAAGCTATTACGTCTTGTTGCGCACCCTTGCGACAAAAATGTCGCGTCCCCGACACTTTGGTCGCGGGTGCGTGCTCATTTATCGTAAGATATTAAATGTAAGACATAAGTGGATTCACATTTTTCGAAAAGATAAGTACCTGTGTAGCTAGAGTGAATTTCCTATACCCTCCTTTTTTAAACTCGGATATAATATTTTTGCGAATCGATTTTTTTAGGGTCATTGGTCGATCTAATATCGATTCGGAATCGATTGTGGCGTCGATTGTTTTCATCGCTTTGTCGGTTTTTTTTTTGTGAAAAGGTTTTGTTCCTAGCGACCATATTCCCGGGAGGCGGTATGAATTTTTTTTTAGTACAAATGAAAAAAACGTTACCAATCTTGGCTGTAGACGATTTTTATATTTTTTTTTGTTTTTTGTGTTTAGTATTAAAATGTTAATATATATTTTTTGGATCCGCCGGGGTAGTGCAATAGAGGTAGACTAAGATGTAACCAAATGAATAGTGTATATAGTTCAATTTTTTGCCTTCGACTGTCTCGGTCTCTTAAAAGAAAATCGAAAAAAAATTATAATAATACAGGATGTTTAGATTTTTAGAAGGTTTTTTACGGTTTCCTGTATGGTTGTGTCGATTGGTTCTCGGTTAAAGGGTATATGGGTACTTAATTTTGATGCAGACATGTCCCGACCGACCGCGGACGAGGCAAGAACGCGTTTTTTCGATGACTTTTATTCCCAACATTCGACTTTGTAGAGCATTTTTTCGTGTCGTGACAGATTTTGATGTAAGGCGCAAGTGCCTTAGCGTTGCGAGTTTTGGTTTTACCCCTCCCGAGCTTTGTTTGCCGAATTCCGACCGATCTTTGACTCGAATACGGATTTCGGTCTGTAATCGTTTTGCTTTTAACGCTTCTCGAACGGTCTCTGACAGGTTTCGGTCTTTCGGTTTGTTTAAGAAGCGTCCGAAGCAAAGCGATCCTAAGCGTTAAGTAGTGAATTTGTAATTATTAGAGCGTTTAGTGGGAATTATTTGCCATACAATCACGCGACGTGGCACTTCGTTTGTACGTCACTAATATTCTAACGATCGTAGACAAATTAAATAATATATATTTTTTTTTCTTAGACTTAGACCTATTTCATAAATGGAGTGGTGCGTCGCGATTTCAGAGTTTAAAAATGCACACATGCGTGCGAATAATAATAGTTAATAAAATAGATTCGAAATAGACATTAATGCGAAGGTTTCCTCTTTAAATATATGTAACTAGAAGTTTTTAGGTGATTTCAAACACGCTCTATAAGCCCCGATATCTTTCTCACTCTCACGGCACTATTTCTATCCCTTTCACACGTTTATTTGATGTTTTGAGCTGTTCCGATTGTTCTGCATTTGATTTTTTTTATTTTTTTTTGTTTGTGACAACACTATGATTTTGACGGTCCGATGTCGATTCGGTTAACCGAAATTTTGACTATTGTTCAAAACAATAGAACTGATTTGGACAATCGAAATTGCAAAGCGAAACTAAATTCGGTTAACCGAAACAATAACCGATGTCGGACGATTTTGACGTGAACTTGTAGCTCGATGTGTGTGCATTTTCAATTGTGGTTATTTTGTACGTGATTGCTCAATCGTTTTTGATGAATTGTTTAACGTGCCCCCTATCCAGCGAGTGGTGCGAAGAGTGGTTGTTGCATGGTTGGTCGCACTGTCCCACTTTTGTATTTTTGTATTTTTATAAAAAACTAATGTGGAATTCGGATGTTTTTTACTTTACGCGCAACGTGGTGTAGTTTAAACGACCAGGTTTGCTTCCTGGTAGATAAAAATTAATTGGTGTTAGAAAAACCGAGTTGTTTGGGATATGTGGTCTGTTGCATATAGTATTTGCACTATATCTAAGAGCTGAAATTGGCTACGGCCATTGCATTGGGATGCCAGGGACTGGCAGTTTGACTGGACGCTGGACTGGTACGCGACAGTAGATCAAATCGACTGGTACCGCGACTGGCGGCTCGACTGTATGTTCGGCTGGTAGCTCGACTTGGAGCTAGATTGGCAACTTGACTGGTAACTTATCTAGTAGCTCGGCTGTTAGTTTGACTGGTGGCTCGAGTAGTAACTAGACTGGCAACTTGACTAGTAGCTTGACTGGTAAATGAGATCGGTAGGCTTACGATGGCAAAAATTACTTAATCTGCCACCAGTCTTGGCATCTGAATGCATTGATTGAATAAGCAGAGGCTGTAGAAAGATTCGACTTACGGAGGAATTTTCTAGTTTCTCCTTGTTTATTTTTTATTATTGTTAGGGGTTTTGCTTAAATATTTGTTTTGACGAAGCGCGGTAGTTTATAATTGTTTTAATTTCTAGACTCTTTGAAGTTTCCTTTTTAGTTGTATAGTTTGATGCCGCGGCTTTGTTTCCTTTGTGTTTGGTTAGTTGGTAGGTTGTTTAACTTGGTTTCTTGTTTATGGCTCGCGCCGTTTGTTCTTGTTGAACGTTGACTGTTTTCTATTTATAGCTATTTCATTGCTAATCTTTTCGTTTTTAGATAGTAATTTTGCATATCACATGGTTTCACCGTACGGGGGGCATTGTCTTAAGATTTTTCGACGTGGAATTTGTACTTTGAAACGGTCTTAGTGATAATTAATTGTTGTTGTTGATTCGACGTTTTCGACGTTTTGTCCCCTCGTAACGCCCGAGTGGTCTCACGCACGCCAACTTGCATGCATCCATCATCCGCCATTTTTATTCGGCGGCGGACCGAGATTAGGTAATTTTTTTCTTAGTGCGCCTGACTTGAGGCGGGCTTGTAATTTACTAGAAATTTTAGTGAAATTATTACGTAATTATAATTATGAAAATAGCAAAAAGTAGAAAAATTCATTATTACCTAAACCTAGATGATTAATATAGTATAAATACCCTAACGTTGCCGGACAATATTGTTTTATAACGCACTGTCGTATGCGTCTGTCTGTCTGTCGCGTTAGTTCATTACAGGCCGGGATGGTGCATAAGAATGTATTTTTTTAATAAATTTTATAAACCCGACTCCTTGGACGCGTGTTTTTAATGTTGGCAATACAATATAATATAATATGACAAAAAATTTTGCCTAATTTTCTTTGAGAAGTTTTTGGTTTTAGTGTAATTATTATAAAGTTGATACGATGATTTAGTGTTTATATATATTATATAATTGCTTTGTGGAAGGAGTCGGCACACTATTATTTCAAATTAGATTTATATATTTTTATAGACGGTTGTTTCTATTGTTATATTGTACCTACAATCAATTTTGTTGGAAATGTCACGTTTCGAATGTCACTTTGACAGCAACCATCTGAAAGTTAGGCTGCACACACACGATCGATTGTTTTGACGCAAGTGTGGACTGAGCCTTTTGGTCACAAAAGTGACATTTGAAGCTAAATTTTAAAATGTATCAATATAAATAAAATAATTTGCTACAGTTTATGTTTTAAGAATTTGCTTGGTTTCTTTGGCATATGAAATTAAATGTATGGAAGCGAGAACCAAATGAATTCGTTTTTTTTCAAGAATTTGTATGAGAATTGTATGATGTTTTAGCTTTTGTAATGTTCACTTTGATTTGACATGCAATTAATTTAGACTTGAAATATTAAAATGAATTTGAAACTTTGTCCTGCGTTTTTGTCTTAGATTGTTTGGGATAGTGCAATCTACATATATTTTTTTATTCACGTCGAAACTGTGTTGTCACATAATTGTAAGTTTTTGAGCTGTTTTTTCTTT